TCTGAATAAGCTAAAAGGTGAGTGAAGCTTGGCTCACAGGTCTCTGGTGTCTGCTTCTGGGAAGAATGAGAAGTGAAACAATAGAAGTTACCTCTAAACTTGCAGCCTGACTAAGTGATTTTTTGAAAAAATGGCTTTCTTTATGATTTTACTAAGAAAATTCAACCTGAAGTCTATGGTGTCATAAGTTTCTAGGGAACACTGCCCAAAATAAAATTAACCTTTGATTCATTTTTTTTTTTGTTATATAAATACAAACTCTTCTAATCTACATGTGCTAATTACACACTAAAATAAAGTTATATTTGATAGGGTTGATATTCATAAAAATAACAATGGTTAGATTCATGTCATGCTTTGGGGTTTTTTAAGAATAATTTCAACTAGAGGATTTAAAAACTTGTTTTCCAATCTACATGAGAAAAAGAAGAACTGACTTACTCATTATCATCATCAATTTTAGCTTTTCACAAAAAATAAAATTAACCTTTTATTTTTTATTGTATAAAAAAGTGCAACTCTTCTACATGTGTTAGTTACACACTAAAATAAATTTATATTTGATTTGATAGGGTTGATAGTGATGAAAACCACAATGGTTGGAGTCACGTCATGCTTTGGGGTTTTTTAAGAATAATTTCAATTAGAAGATTTAAAAACATGTTTTTTAATCTACAAAGAAAAGCCGACTTACTCATTATAATCATCAATTCTAGCTTTTCATAGAAAATTTGTGCACTGGGGTTTTTCTAGAGAGTCCATGGCAAGTTCAGGTCTTTCTCAGAAGGAAAGATAATGCTAACCAGGCCAGGGTCTCTGGGCCCGACACTGAACTGTGCACTCACAGTTACCCAATACCCAGGAAGAAATATACCCAAGAAGAAAAACTATCTAAGTACATGAAAGAGGCCTAGTCATCTAACAAGTTCCAGAATGAACTCTGTCTCACTTTGACAGTTTCCTACAGCTAATCAAGTAATACTGATGGTCTCACTTAGCGTCATTGATACTTAATGTGAATATTTCTCATGTACCACCTTAACCATAACCCTATGAGTTAGGTACTATTATCCCCTATGAGTTAGGTACTATTTTACAGACGAGGAGCCCAAGGTTGCTATTTGAGGATGGCTTGCCCAAGGTCACACAGGGAGTAAGTGGCAGATCAGAGATTCATATCCAGTTCTATTGGACTCCAACTCCATGCTATGAATTCAGAATCTCTGTATTTTATTGCCTCTCTATTTCTACCAAAGTCACTTTATTCACAAAAACAAACAAACAAAAAAACACTTTGGAGGCCAAAGCAGAATTTGACTCCTGGCTTGAGGCCAGGAGTTCAAGACCAGGCCACAGGCAGCAAAGCAAAACCTGCGCAGAATTTGACTCCTGGCTTGAGGCCAGGAGTTCAAGACCAGGCCACAGGCAGCAAAGCAAAACCTGC